GCAGGCCTGGCAACTCGGAGCTGCAGTCCTGCCTTGGGGGTCCACGCAGAGAGAAGGAAGCGGGAGCTCATGTCGTAGCTGTCCTACTGCACTCTGTGCCCTAGCTGGGCCTTACCTGTGAAAATATACCTTCCACAGGAGGCCTCTCTGGGTGTGTGGAAACTTCCAGAGATGCTCAGCCTGGCACAGTATCAGGTACAGCGGATAGAACGGCACGGACAGAGAAGTAGATGCGGTGGCCTCACCCTCAGCCTCCCATACTCCAGGCACACGGCTGCAGGCGACACGTGTGTGTGTGTGTGTGTGCATGTGTTTTTACAGGCCGTGCACCTGCTTGTGGATGACCGTGTGCGTGCGTGCCTGTGTGTATCTGTGTGGGTACACGTGTGTGTGAGTAAGGGCTATGGCTGCTCCATATCTCCCCAGAGAGGCCAGGTATGGTAACAGGTCAAGTCTAGGGAAGGAAGAACTCCAAGGGAGCAGCAGATCACCTTGCAGTGGGGCAGTGCACACAGAGGTCACTCATCCCAGAGGAGCCCTGGGTCTACTCATTAACGGGCATGCACAGCAGCCACGTGTTATGTGCATGTGTCCCTGTCCATGTTACAGAACCCTGAATAGGTTTCACACACGTTTACATGTTCACTTATTTGTAGGGATGTTCTTGTCTGCCTTGCTCCCTAACTGAGTCAGCTTCATGGCATATTTCACTCCCAGTGCCTGTGGACAGTGCCACGTGCCTGGAGATGGGCAGACTGCTGAGCAGGGTCCTCAGATGGTCTCCTGCATGGCTCTCAAATGCCACTTTTGGGTGGGAAGCAAGGTGGGAGGCTGATGGGCTTCCGGTGAAATTCGTGGGAAGTCAGCCTGAGTCGCGGCCCTCCTGTGTGTGCACACGGGCTTGGCAGGCCCAGTCAGGGCGCCAGCTCTTTGGGGTGTTCGGGGTCCAGGCGTCCACCACGCATGCAGTGAGCCATGTCACCTCTGAAAAGTCACCTCCATTAATGGTCCTTTTATGGTTTAATTTTATAGCTGTCAGACACTCAGCAATGAGATTCCCATTATGGTTAGTGTGGGTTTTATTTAGATTCTGTGTCACACAAGAAAAGATAGTAAATAATGATAAAGGAGCGGTTATTTTTAATGCCTTTCCCATCCCATCCCTCCCCAGCAGCCATTCACACTTACCTGACTTTTCAGAGCCTGCAGAGGGCCGGGAAGGGCACCCTGGTTGGGCCCCTCTGTGCCAGCCCAGGGACACAGAGGGAAGTCAGTGGCCAGGTCCCAGGCTGGGAGCCGGCAGCCCTGAAGTCAGGGTTGGGGTCCACGAAGCAACGGGGCCATGTGCATTTGTAGCCCAGGGCTCTGAACTCCTCTCCTGAGACACTGCTCGGACGTCACCAGCTCAGGCAGTGGAGCTGGGCACAGAACTGCCCAGGCCGGCCTTCCCCCTAGGTGCTTCACTAAGGGTCCCCCAGCCCCGCCCAGCCCACGGTGGGATGCCTGCAAGCCCCCGCCTCACTGATGCCTCTGGGACATGAGCCTGCGCGCTACAACTGGGGTGACTTTTTGATTCAGCAAACATCTCTGGCAGACTGCTAGGAGCTGGGAACTGTGCTATATCAGTCCTGGGTTCTCTGTCAGTGTTTTTTCACTTTTAAAATGAACTGATGGATACAACAGACATATTAACACTGCATTCTGTTCATCTTGTGACATTACAGCAATTAAAGATGAGCACACAGAGCTGGCAATTCCTAGGAGGCCATTAGGGCCTTTCTGGGGTTAGACATGCCCTTCCCAGAGATGAGTTCGCAGCATTATGTTTCACTTCCAGAACAGCTAGCCAGCTAGCTAAACAGAAGTTGAATCCTGTTCCTCAGTCAACAGTCTGCCCTCAGAGCAGCCAGTGAAGACAGGGAGACTCAGAGAGCACCTCTGCAATTAGGGGAACACAGCAAGGGCAGCTGGACATGCCTGCAAATCCCAGGTTCTCAGCAGGAACCCAGAGAAGATGCTAACACATGCTCACCCATCCCTCACACCCCTGCCACCAAAAGGACTGAGACGATAGACTTGAACCTTGAATCCACATCTCCAGGGAAAATACCGGGTTGCCCTTCTGCTCACAAAGGAGAGCAGGGCCCAGACACTTCCTGGCCTGCCAGTACCTCCTTCGGATTCCAAAGCCCCAAAACCTTGCCACCCAAGAAGCCTAGCCCATGGGGCATCATTCTTCACATCTCTCTGCTTCATGGTACCTTTTCTTCCTGGTTATATTAAGCATCAACACGAAAGCCACTAGTCTGAGCACAGTGCTATAATCTGTCAAGTGATGGAAAGATGGGAGAAAAATATCTTAAAGTCTTTGGAAAAGGTAGGTAGAAAATAATTGTGTAATGCTAGCTGTTTCCTTACGCCTGTGCTCCAAGGTAAACACAAGCAGATGAAGGAGTGTCTTCACCCTGCCCTTCCCGGCACCCACGGCCTTGTGTCCCTACCCACGGGGCTGTTTCAATCCAGGTTCCCAAGTGCCTTGATTCAGACTGTAGTTCACAAACACAGGCAACTGCACGCCACCTTCAGAAGCCAAAGACAGGGTTCTCGCTTCTCAGGGGAGGGCCAGGGTGTCATCAGGGGCGAGCAACAGAAGGTCCCCACAGCCGCATTGTGGCTGTGCCTGGGGGGCTCTTCCCTGGCCCTCTGGCTGCCTGGGCCAGGCATGAGGCAGTGGGCAGGACCACGCTTACAAAGAACAGCCCGGGAACAGCTGCGGTTTGGGACCACTGGACGCCTCTCCCCACTCACAGCCTATTCATCTTCCCTAGCGCTGGGAAACAAGCTGGCCAGAGGAGGACGGGTTAGCCACATGGCAAAAGGTGACATGTGGACAGACAGCTCCCTGTGTCCCCTGCTCCACCACTGAGAACACCAGCTTCAGGGGACCGACAATTCAAACAGCTCATTCACACCCATCTGCAGACACCACCGAGTCTCGCTGGTCTGCCCGCCCCCCTTGCCTTCTCCCTCCCGCCTTCTGGCCAGCATGTCCCCGAGGAGAGGACCCAGGCCCGCAGCTGGCTAGCCAGAAATGCACCCCTGTGTCTCCCTTGGCACCAGGGTTGGCCGGCCACCCCCAAGGGCCAGCTCCAAGGAGCCACGGTACTGCTCCTCTGTCCCCACGCAGTAAGGCCTCTGTCTCTGGGTGGACAGACCAGACTTGCAGGAGCCCTGAGGGCTGCGTCGGCAGGCACAGATCCCCCGGGGCTGCTGAAAGACACTGCTTCAGAGCGTGCCCTGCTCCCGGCCCACGCCCTGCCTGCGCAGCCCGCGCCGCCTCTCAGGACCCTGACATGCATGTGTCCCCTCTGGAGACATGCCGAGGTTTCTGGGAAGAGCTCTCAGTGACCCATCAGCAATCACGCTGCACCCCATGAGCAAGGTTATTCACTGAAACCCGGGCCCACCCACACCCAGTATCTTCCAGACCAGGGGATGGAAACTCTTCCCTCTTAAACCAAAAACACTCGGAGCCTCAGGAGGACGGCGGCGGTGTCCCCCCCAAGACACCAGGACCGATGAGTTCCCGCTGGCAGTGGAATGGTGTTCAGCCACACTGACAGAGCCCCCAGCTCTCTTACTAAAGCACAGCTTTAAAATCAGGGGAAACGACCCCAAAGCAGAGAACCCCAGCACGGCCTGGCACTTTGACCTCAGAGAGAAGCAGCGAGACCTCACTGGCTCCCATTTCAGAACGTGTGCCCCAAAGGGGCAAGATAAGCATGGAGGGTAAAGAACATACAGTCTGAACAAGGCCTCGCTGCAAGGAACCCCCTGGCTGCTCAATGGGGTCCAGGGTCTTCTGGCAGAGGACACAGCCGAGAACAGCCCTCTAGGGACATGGCAGCTCCAGGGGACAGAGCCACCCACTCCTGAAGCAGGTTGGTGAGCTGGTGGGCAGGTGGGCTGACCCTCGTGGAGCTGGCCAGGCCTGCAACAAAGCCCGGGGACAGCCACCGTTCACTTCAGGGCCTGGACGCAAAACCAGGGGAAGGAGATGGACACCGGGCCGAGAGTGGAGGTCATGGGCCTGGGCTGGCCTCCCGCACCCACCTCCTTCCCCAGGAGCCAGCAGCAGTTCATCAATTAGGCAAGGAAGCCGCTAAACATCGCAAACCCTTCCTCTGTGGAGCCCAGAGCTTATGACAATGTGCCTACATTACGGGCCCGGCTTCCTCCTGCGCTCAGTGCCTCCTTCCAGCCCAGGGAGCGCCAGGCAGTGCTGGCACAAGGTGCCTGATGACAGGACAGCGGGTGCGACTCCAGGCCCCCAGGGCCTCCGTCAGCTGTTCCGCGAAGGCAGGCCAGGCGGAGCACAGAGTGTACCAGGCTGAGCTCCAGGAGTTCCTGGCGCAGGGACTAGCAAGTTTCCAGGAGTGCCCACCCAACCATACAGGCTGTGCGCTCCGGCTTGGGCCCTGGGCAAACAGCTCCCGGGCCCCCGAGACCTCCCAACTTCCACAGTGCGACCACTAACGCGGACACCTTAACCAAGTTCCGGGACAGGATCCGGGGGCCCTGCGTTCTAGCTGGCACCAGGAGGACGGGGGCGCAAACTTGGTGCGGGGCTGGGCGCTCTGGAGCCCAAGTCCCCTGTACGCCCAGTCCACGGCCCCGGCCTCCCCTGGGCTCCCGGCGCCTCGGCCCCGCGCCCGCCCCGACTCGCCAGCATGGAGCGCGGGTGCCATCTACCGAGGGCCGCGCGGAGCGGGCGGGCGCCGCTGCCAGCGAGCCGTGCGGGGCAGGGGACGGATCCGGCAGCCTCGGCGAGGGTCCCGTCTCCGGCGGCGCGAGAGGCACCGAGGCCGCCGCCCCGCCCCCTCGCCACCGGCCGACTGGGAGCTCCGGGCGCGGAGGGTCCGCAGTGGCACCCGGAGCGGGCTGCGCGCGGCGGCACTGGCGGCCGCAGGCGCTGGAGGCCGGGAGCCGGGGACCATTACCTGCTTTCGGGAACTGCGCGTGGATCAGCAGCACGACGAAGCAGCAGAGCGCGGCCCCTGCGAGTGCCCAGAGCGCCTTCAGGAGCTGCATCGCGGAGCGCCAACGCGGCCGACGTCCCCGAAGTCGCGCAGCGCGGGTCCGGGCGCCGCATCAGCGCCCCGCCGGGTGCAGCCGCCGCGGCCGCCCGCTCGCGCCCTCCATCCGCCGCCGCCGCGCTCCGCCGCGACTGGAGCCGCCACTCCGGGAGGCGGCGGGTGGCTGCGCGGGCAGGGGAGGAGGGGCGCGCGGGGGGCGCGGGGAGGGGCGGGGGCGGGGAGGTCAGCACCGGGGCTCCCGCCACGGCGGCCGCAGCTCCGGCCGCCCGGCCACCATCGCGGGCTGCGGGGCGCCGGGGGGCGGCCGCCGCGGCCCCATGAATCAGCCCCGCCGCCGCCCCCGGAGCCGCGCCGCCAGCAGGGCCCGGACGGCGGATTGCGCAACGGCGGCGGCGCGAGGGCGGGGGGGTGTCCCGCGCGGTCCCGGGCCTCCGCCGCTGTCGCCTCCTCGCCTCCGCCGCGCTCGCTCGGGCCCGGGGCTCAGGGGGCTGCGCCGCCGCCGCGGAGGGCCAGGCCCGGGGCCGGGGCTGCGCGCAGGAAGCGGGGCTGCCGCACCATCGCCGCGCCGGGGCCCGCGCGCCCGGCCGAGCCCGCCGCGATCGAACTTGCGCGGCCTGGGGCTGGCAGGCCGGTCCCCCCCGGACGGTGCCGGCCTCCGCGCTCCCCAAGCCCGCGCCCCCGCCGCTGCGGCCGTACGAGGCCCGGCCCGGCGCTTCCGCGGGCGGCCCGCGCGGGCCGGGCGCTGCCGGGGCCGGGCCCGCGCGGGTGCGGGTGCCGGTGCTGGCGGCGGCGGTGGCGGCCGCGCCGACAGGTGGGGTCGGCGACGCTGCGCGCCTCGCCGCCCGCGGGACGCCGCTGCTCCGGCCCGGCGGCGCCCGCCCGCTTGCTCGGCTCGGCCTTTCCGGGGCGGCGGCGGGAGAGGTTGCGGGAGGCCGGGCCCGCGCGGCGCTCGGACTCCGGCCCGCGCCCGCCGCCGTCTGCACTCCGCCCGGCCCGCCGAGCTGCCGATGCGCACTGGGCCGCGGAGAGGACCCGGGGGACCCCCGCCGCCCTGCAGCGCCCCCGCCTGGCGCGCCGGCGGGTCAGGCGGGGCCGGTCCAGCCGAAAACCGCGGGTCGGGCTCCACCTAGGTGTGCAGGGGCCTCACTGCAGAGCCGGTCACGGCGGGTGCCGGAGCGGGGCGCTGGCGGCCTCCAGTATGCCCAGCCTCCTCGCCCCCCATGGCCCCTGGAAGGGCGGGGGGCACACTGCTGGGGCATTGCCGCTGCCCAGGCCCAACCCGCGGTCGGTCCTGAAAGTCACACCTCTGTCTGGAAACACACACACACACACACCCTGGTGAATGACACCCCGCGGGCCAGCTGCTATGCACCCAAGCACGTGGGCATGCAGTAAATGCCTAGGGACTGCTCCAGATGGGGCAGAGGGCGCCCTCCTGCCTCGGCCTCTGCACAGCATCTAGGAAGGGCCAGCATTTGCTTCTGGCCAGGTTTCCTCTCCACCCACACTCCAGGGTGGGCGCATCAGGGTCCTTTTCCGAGTGGCTCCCAAGCCCAGAGGCTGGCATGGAGACCTCAAGACAGTTTTGTCTGAATGGAATTTCAAATACCCAGCTAAGCGCTTTGGGTGGGGTCAGCGTAGACCCTCTCCCTGAACCTACTCACAGGCCTGTGTGGGGTCAGGGTGGACAGGACGGCCCCCTGGTCGCTGGCCTTGGGAGTGTGAGCCAGGCCGGGGAGTGCAGTGCGGGGCTTCACATGAAGCCATTTCCCTCCTGCACACAAATCCATGTGTCTGAAGGGCGAATGAGGCCAGACCTGGACAGGCTCTAAGAGGTCACATAGGACATATCCTCAGTGTCCACACATGGACACTGAGGGCCACAGAGGCCTGGACACAGGCACCAGATCCAGAAACGACAGGCTGCCAAGACTAGCGCCACACTGGCTGCTGACACCCCCCGCCTGATTCTGCAGCGCTCCCACCCTGCCACAGCGGGGCCAGCTCCCCGGCAGCCCCGCACCTCTGGCTGCACAGCTTCCCAGGCCCTACACTGCCCTCCGATGCTGTCCACAAGACAAGAAGTCCAGGACCTCGCCCTCACCTGGAGGTGTGGCCGGCCTCACACCAGCCAGGCACTCAGGCCCCGGGGGTGGGGGGACGGCACCTTGCCGCACGGCAGCCCTTTCTGAAGCTCCGGGGCCTGGAAGGTCCTGTATCTGTGCTGCAGCCACTCGGGGAACCAGCCTGCCTAGAGCTCAGAGCCTGACCTCCACCAAGGTCGTCGGCCTGCATTCCTTACCTGGAGCTGAGCTCTCCGCCTTGGAAGGCTTACGGGTCACCAGGTGCTTACTATACACACACACCCAGGATCCCTGAAGGGACCTCAGTCAGGAAGCAAAGCCCACCTCTGCCATCCTGTGTTCTAAATCAGGTGTGTGGTATTTGAAATTTTGAAAATCGAAAAGTATTCTAAATTCACCAGGGGAACTTTTAAAAACTAGCCATTTGGAGGATCCTTCTGTAAAGAGAGTTAAAGAAAAAGAAGTCCATAAAGAGAAACATGGTGTGAATTTATTTTCAACAGATGGAACAGGAGGGCCCGGGCACCGTGCTGTGGGGACCAGCGCATCTTCCTCCAGGCTCTGAGACCTACTAGTCAACGCGCGTGGCGCTGCCTGTACCCTTAGAAGAGGCAACAGGAAAATGGAGATCCCGTGGCAGGTGCCCAGGAGAGTGGCTAACGGTGCCAACCACAGAGGCCCCAGGTGCCCCTGGGGTGTCAGTTCAGAGTGGCAGAGTGAGCGCCAACACTGACCTCGGGAGGTGACCTCCAGGGTCTAACCAGAAAGATGTTTTAAAAAACGATCAGTGATCATGGTGCCAGGAATCATGAGTGAGGACGATCTGCAGGCCAGGAACAGGGGAGTGCGGGGCCAGTCACTGGACGGAAGAGAAGGGGCTGCAGCTGAAGTTGGATGTGCTGGCGTTCCCCGGGCAGCACCTGGGATGCAGCCAGGCCAGGCACTCGCCAGGTGGGTGCTCCGTGGAAAGAGCTGGGTTGGTTTGTACTCCCCACTCTTCATGAAGAACTGCTGTCACCAGGTGTGGCTGAGGCCAGAGTTGGAACACAGTCCAAAGAAAGAGGTGACTTCTGCCTGGGAGGGTGCCCAGAGTGCTGGAGGTGTGACCCTGGATGGGGGAAATGTGCATTTTGTTGAATGACATTGCCTTCAGGTGGGCATGTAGGCAGTAAACACAATAGTTTAGGTGTAATTATGATTTCGTCATAACAGAAGATTGCAGGGGTCTTTGTATCACATTCCAGTTCTTACAGCTATTGCAGAATATAGTTTATATTCACCCTTACTTCAAATTACAGTTGTCCCACTGCCAGATATTTTTATTTAAAGTTTAATAACAAAGAGAACATATTACTATATCAAAATAGATTTTCCAACATTTGACAAAACTGCACTTGATCTAATTTGGTTTTCTTGGTGAGCTTACATATTTTCACGTTATTCTGAGAAGGGGTCCACAGGCTTCACCCAATTGCAGGAGCAAGTCTGGGAACCCCCTGCTCTGCTGAGATGGTGAGAGTCAGAGAAAGATGCAGAACAGAGTAGAGTGGAGCTCTCTGGCCATGCACAGCAACAGGCCCAGGAAGTCAAAGGTAGGGCAACCCCCTGGGGGCAAATTGCGCACATGCATGCACGCGTGTGCACACATACACACACACACACACACACACACACACACACACACACACACACACACGGTAAAGCCCGTCAGCATCAGGCCAGTGTGGGACCTGCTTGCCCAGTGGCTCCATCACCACTTCCAAGGCTGCCCATCCGTCCACACACCCTGCCTGTTCCCAGACAGCTTATGGTCAACTCTTCCTGTCGAGCAAGGAGCCTGTGGGGCGACACAGGACAGAGGTGACCCTTGCTGACCAGCAACTCTGCCACCTCAATCTTTACTCCTGTATAATATTTATTCCTAGACAAACTTTATTTCTGTATGACCTTTATTCGTGGCAGTTTGGACCACGAGGGATTTGCAGAAAGGCAGTGACATGACCAAGAGGGAGGGCCCAGGACATATACGCTCCCCACTTGACCCAGCAGGTGAGGGCCAGAGATCGTAAATGAGTCCAGGAAAAGTAAAAGAGTAACAACAATAATTCTAAGTAGCATCATTCCCAAAGAAATTTGAGAGAAGTTTTCAGTAAATGAAAGTCAGGTACTGTGGTAGAAAGGAAAAAGAGAATTAGAAGGCTTGGAAAAGACAGTGGCTGACTGATGTCAAGCTACAGGGCAGGGACTGCAGAGAGAAATGGGCAAGCTCAAGAACCATGCCTGGGAAATAAAGTCACACACATCCTCAGGACAGACAGCAAGCAGAAAGAAAGACAGATACAGCCTCAAACATGCAGGGTGTATACTGGGTGTCAAACTTTCATTATTAGAAATTCTAAAGGAAAAAAAGTGACAAAGAGGAGGAAATCGTCTAACACATGAGCATAGATCTCCAGACTGTAGGGCCCAGCACATTCTGGACAGACCTAATGGGCAGATCTAGACCCAAATGATGCAAGATATTCTTAAAAGCTTGTAGAATAAAAACAACACTGCCAACAGGTAAATGATGGTCTATGAAGTCAGAATTAAACTGACCCTGGACTTTTCATTAACCACACTGGCATCCAGGGGCATGGGACCCGGGTCTCTTAAGATCTGATGGAAAAGAAATGGCAGCTAGCTCTTTATACCCGGCACACTACCAACAGAGCACATCATTTGAGGGCATTCAAATGCTCAGCTTACCAGCCATACATCCTATAAAAAAAGCTGACCTGGGGTGACATGCCAGCAGAGAAGGAATTGAGAAATGGGGCATGGGAATATGGAATGAAGGAACACATAGCATCTTTGACCCTTTAGAAGTGAAACTGGCTCTAAAGAATATGCATAAAAATACAGGAGGCCCTCATACTTGGTAGAAGCTCCTTCAACTGGCAAAATCTTTACAATGAATATCTATGTTTTTCTACATAGTGCTGGTCACAAATTGGTATCTGTGGGAAACAACATTTATGAAGTCATCC